GTCCACAAGTCTTAAAGCTGTCAAGTTTGAAGACCTCCCCCCCCCCCCGCATTAGGGTATGTGCTTCATAACTTCTGCCATCACTTCAATTCTAATGATGCCTCCCCTAGTAGCACCCAATCCCGTGGTCTACTATGTAAGAGAATAGGGCTTTCACACCTTGGGCCGCACTTCTGCTGATTAAAAAGTTCAAATATAATGTTTGTTGGGGAATGGAGCCCTCTTTTTGAGCCAACCATATCCCCTTTGAAAAAGGAAAGGAGGGAGGGAGGGAGGGAATGTTGGAAGTTAAAACCTACCCCCTCCTAGGAAAATGAAATATTTTAGGATATACTAAAAGGGCAGAATATTTCCCCTAAAAAGAAAAGTAGAAACTCAGAGAGGCAGAAACTTAGCCCCTCCCCCATCTTTGTTAATGGGTGGGCAGTTAAAGCCTAAGCCAGAGTATTCTACATAACGAAGGCCTCTGCTCATTTCACCACCTGGCCTGGGAAGATTGCATTAGCCAGCACTCAGGTGAAGCCAAGTGGTCCAGACGAAGTCTACAAAGTTAGTTAAGACCCCCGCCCCCTGGGAGTCTGACAGCCAATGGGATACATTTCTTGCGCAGGAACAGGAAATACTAAGGTGTGGCCCTACAGGTTATAAAACTAAGGGTCTCTCAGCATCTCAGCCCTTTTTCCTTATTTCTTCACCCGAGGCATGTGATCCTCCCCACCATTAAATCATCTTTCCAAGCAGTCACCATGTTTCCAGTGTCTTTCTTCCCCACTTGGAACTGAACTCAGAAGGCTATTTCTTCCAACAGGAGGAAGGAAGGAAGGACCAGAGACAGTGGCCTTTCTCTATACTTGATCAAAAAACACCCCTCAAACTGGTGACTTTGTTTATGGGTTTGAGCATGGAGACTACATTTACAAAACAAGTTTAATAGGCTTCTTTTAAAGCATTTCCCCTACAAAATCAGGTGGTGGCAGAGGTGGTATTCAACAGGTTCTGACCAGTTCTGGGGAACCGGTAGCGGAAATTTTGAGTAGTTTGGAGAACGAGCAAATACCACCTCTGACTGGAGAGTTTATAGTATCCTTCCCTTGCCACGACCACCAAGCCACGCCCACAGAACCGGTAGTAAAAATATTTGAAACCCACCATTGGGTGGTGGGTATAAGATGTGGAGCACCACCAGAAGCCAGGCAAGGTAGCTTACTAAACCATGTCTGCAAAGCTTCTTTCGTGTTTCTCAAAATAACGGGTGATTTAAGAGGATTATCTTTTATTAGTACAGAACCATGGCTTGCTGCCCAGTTGTAGGAGACCAGGACATGGCTGTCATCCATGTTTAATGCCAGATGAAGCTCCCAGATATACTGTAGCCTAAGCTTCAGTGTTGTGAACTGCATTTACTACAGATTCCTGCCCTTCTTGAAAAGCAGACACTGCTGTCTGTCTCATCAATTCCAGTCCTAATAGCAGTGTCATAAGTCCCCCCCGCCCCCCATAATTCTGAATGGTATGTCCTTTCTCTCTTAACAAGAGCTCTATGGACTACAAATGCCTATCTAAATCTCCTGTAGCTCTGGATGCTGTTGGTTGTTTCCTGGGACATTGGCGTTTTCCTTTGCTATTTGTTGATTATTGCTTTTATGCTAAAGTTTGCATTGTTTTTAGAGCACAGAGGTTAAATCGTTGTTGATTTATTTGCTGAAATAGACACAGGTGGGGAAAAAAATCAAAATGAGTGGAATTGTACAATAACTATGTAAAGAGCATGTCCATGGTGGTATTTAGTAGGTCAATACAATATGACTAAAGCAAACTCAGCAGAGATTAAAGATTATTGTCTTATCTTTCTATAGATACCTCATGGAAAAACTGGGAAGAAAGCAGTCAATAAATGTACAAGTAACTTAAATGTACAAGTATTTTAACTTACTACACCTTTGTATGGTTTGCCAATTGCACAGGGGCAGATAGCAAAGCGCTCCAGAGGGTTAACATCATTGCCCCAGAAGATCATGGGTTGCCCTCTCCCCTCTTTGGAAGAGCTTTATAGCTCCCGCTGCCTTAAGAAAGTTCAAAATATTTTCAAAGATCCATCTCATCCTGGGCACCCTTTTTTTGAACTATTACCATCTGGCAGACGGCACAGGATAATAAAAACAAGGACAAATAGGCTGAAAAACAGCTTCTATCCCAGGGCAGCAATTCTATTGTATAGTGCAGTGTCGGCGGTTTTCGGTTCAATGTGTGGAGTATGAAGGATGTGTGTTTGTGTTTATTTTTATGGCAATGATATGCACTGAAGATGGTGTTTGATTTCGTTGTATGAGGTGCAACAACAATAAAGTAAACTAACTAAATGTTGATTTTGCAACAAAGTACTCACCAATTGTTAGCAGATGGAAAACATTAGTCATAAATGATTCAATGACATCAAGATGCTAGAAGTGACATGAGACAATCTAGTTCCAAATGTGGCACAAACTCAGTCTTTAAAAGACTTCCAAGGAATTCTGTGAGGTCTTCCTATAGTCCCCAGTGAAGGCAGGGCATCCATCTGAATGCACATGCTTGTCTATACAGAGAGGGAAAGGTAAGATGAAAATATGTTAAGTATGGCAAAAGAAGTTATAACTTTTCAAAGTCTGTCTTTTTGGAGCCAAGGTCTACCTGAGCTATGTTAACTTTATTTGGACCCTCTGGAATAGCAGATTGCTTGAAATAATTGCAGGTACCTATGCTGCCTTCTTTCCCTCCCACTTGAATCTGCTTTCCAGCAGCAGCATAGTAGAGTTGCCAATAGCACTGCAACTTTGACATAGGTGTGGGGTGAGATGTGTGTTTTGGAAGAGAACAGAGCAAAAGGTAATGATAATTGAACAGTAATAGCATATTGTACATGTAATAGTAATATAATTTAGTGTAAACATTTGTCATAGTAATTAAAGAATAATAGCATATTATAGCAATAACTGTCATAGTAATAGTATAGCAGCAACAACATAGAATATAGGAAGCAATCACATATTACTTTATGTTTATTTTAACAAAACATTAGTCTAACTTCATGGCATCTCTAGGTGACTTGCAAAATTACTTCCTTCCAACAACATTAGCATCATTAGATGCCCCTATGATACTGAGCAACAGAGAACCATCTTTCTGTATTTACTTTCTCTGAAGAGCTGGAAGGTTGCGGAAAGACTCTGAAATACCCACAATGGAAGATTGGTTGGTGAAGATGACAGAATTTGCCAAGATGACCATCTTCATGTTTGATAAGGGAATGGATAATAGCTGCATACATTAGTGATTGGACCCCCTTTGTGGAGTTTTGGCTGAAAACAAAAAAAATGAACTTTTGATTTATGGGTTTGATTAGAAAATGCAGAATATGAAAAGAAGAGTGCCATGGTGTAAGCTCAGAAAGAATAAAATGTAAATGCATTTATAACTGCTGTAAAGATTGGTATCTGCTCCTTTATGTCTTTTTTCTTATCACTTTTGCTTTTCTTATTTAATTACTGAAAGGACATATTGACATGAATCAGTCTAACCTTTGCTCTTTGCTTCTGTTAAAGAAGGTGCTTGTACTATTTTGCTAAGGGTGGAAATCATTTGTTAGGAATTCATTCTAGAAGAAAATTGTATCCTTTTCTATCTGGTTTCTCACCTCTGCAATTTGCTTCAGAGCTACACAACCTTGGAGACAATTCCCAGGAACATCCTGCTCCATAGATAGGGGTGGAGGGCTGCCTAGGAGCACGAACACAAAAGTAGAAGGAATACTGCGTAAAATAACAAAGTATGGACAGAGCACGGACAAAGAACGCTCCATGGATAAGGAATGGGACGGCATAGAGTGTAAAATTTATATAATACTCTGAGCCACTCTCGCAGGGTGTGGCTATTCCTTTCATGCATTTTGTCTGTATGTTTTGGACATAGTATTCACACCCAGACATTTTGCTTTGGGCAAAGAATAGAAAAAAGCTAATATTTTTGCAAGCCTCCTCTTGAGTCTCACTCTTTGGCATCTCCGTGGCTGGGGGAAACTTCTGGGAGATTACATCACGATTCTTTCCCTTTAAATTATTTTTATTTTGCAGAAAGATCTGCAGACTCTCTCTGTGTGTGAAACCCCGCCCCTTGATAAGGGCAGCCACATACATAAGAGGCAGAGATTTGATTGCACATTTTGGATACCATTGTGACCTTTAGGATTTCCCCACCTCGGGGGGACTGACTGCCATTTTTTTTCAATAAGCTTCAGATGATGATGATTGCTATTGTGCATGAGAATTCAAACTGTCGTACAAGCGGAGGGCTCCTAGGGGAGGAATTGCACTTTGACAAGGTCGGAGAACGAGGCGCTTAATTTGCTTCACCTCCGGACATTACTACGATTCCCATCATGCCTTATCTCCGCACCTCAAAACAATCCTTTGACCGCAACGCATGCGCAGGAAAGAAAACTCTCTTTTGGCGGTGATAAGTCTCGTCTCTCTCTCTCTCTCTTTCAGAACGGTAAGGAGCCTCTAACGGCACCAAAAGACCCGCATGCGCAAACCAGCAGATTTTAAGCTCTGGGGCGCAGACGCTCTATCCCTTTCTCCACCTTCCCTCAAGTTTGTTTCTTGGGGTTTCTGCACCCCGCCCACTTCTCCCCGCGCCAAACCGCGGCGCATGCGCATCCTCGTTGGCGTTTTGACGGTAACTGTCCTCGGTGCGGGTGCCTGTGTCTTGTGAGGGAGGGAAGGAGGCTCAGCGAGAGGGCGACGGGGCTCTCTGCACCTCGAAAGGGGAGAGGGCTGGGCGTTTGGCTCCCCCACCCCACCATATGTCTTCGCGAGAGGAAGGCACTCTGTACTTGCCCAGAGACAACTTTTCTCCTTCAAAAAGCATGCCTTCCTCCCGCAGCGGGATCAAACATGGAGGAGTGGGGTGGGAATGGGGTCGAGGAGAGTCTCGGCTTACAGTGTCCAGGTGGTCCTCCGAGCCCAGAATTTACTGCTAAGTGAGAGAAATGGGTTCAGCGAGTTTGGTCCCGTTTTTGCGGTTTTTCTTGGTGTTTGTTAATTGAGCGACACGGTCGTTAAGTGAGTCTGACTTCCCCATTGAAGGTTGCAAAAGGTGATCACATGTGTCTCTGGGACAGGGCCATCTCGGGGATGTTGTAAGGGTCGCAGGTGTGAACAATGGCCAAAAAGTTGCTTTTTTTAAAACTGCCCTTTGTAGCTTCAAAAGAAACTGGTGTAAGTCGAAGACGACTACCTGTACAGGAACTGTTGGATGAAAAGACAGGGGTGTCAGGCTAACAGCTCCATTCTTGATCTACAGTCATAGTGGCTTGGTTTGGAATAGTGGCTGAAGAACATCTGGGAAGCCAAGGTTGAGAAAGAAAGGCTGAAGGGGTTGTGTTAAACCTGGGAGGGTTACTTTTTGCATTTATGTTTTTTTTTTGTGTGTGTGTGTGAATGGATAGAAAGTGTCTTTGGAAATCAGGTGGGGAAAGGTCTGCTTGGATGAAGGAGAACATTTTACTATGGGGTGTGAAGGACCCAGGTCTCTATTAGTGTATACAGGAAAAAAAATATTAAAATTTCCCAAGATGATGTAATGCAGGATATGAGGAAAAATGCATAAGAAACCAACTGACTTAAGAGAGTGTTTCAGATACTGTCTGTGTGAAGCATATATGAGCTTTTAGAGAATGACAAAGTAATGGACTATAATTTCAAGAAGGAAGATGGGTCAATATGAAAAAAGGATGATGAATGCTAAGAATGATGACCTCTGAATGAACAATAAAAGGGAGGAGATAATTTTAATCTATTACACATACTGCTGACTGAAGTTTCATGTTACTAGCCTAACAGAATTGCTCCACTGTTAATTGCTTCCTGGTTTCAGTGAAGTCTGTAAAACATTTATAGTTACTTGACCTAGGAACTCAATGAAAGGAAGTTACATAGATGCCTATTACAATATGCCTTGGCTGGCTGGTTGAGAAGGGTATGGCATTGGTTTTTGAGCTATTATCTTATTTAGGATTGCCGGTTTTGTATTAGCAATATCTCCTGTGTGCCAGGAATTTCCCAAAATATCAAACGTTATTGCAACTGCTCCCAACATAAATGGTTCATTCTTGAGATCTTGCAGATGTAAGATATGCTCATTTCCATCAAAGCAGCATAGTTTTCCAGTATATCTTATATTTTAAAAAGTATATTTTATTGTGAAAGATCACTTAGTTTGAGTTGTAAAGACAATATTGTACAGTATATAATACTTCAATTTTGTATCAGTTGTACAGATTTATGATCACTTTCTAGACTCAGCTAAAAGTCTGGCATAATCTTTTTAAAAAATCTGGCATGGTTTGAGAGCAGATTATGACATCAATTACATGCATGTAAACTTACCTTTGTTCTTGTGAATTGGCCTCCCAGGCATACTTTCAGTCATATCTGTAGTATCAAAGAGAGAACTACCTGATTCACCTTTATTGCAAAATTGATTGCCTAAAGAAATCTAGTCCTCTCTAATTCCCTGCTTAAAGCCAAAGGACTAAAATCACAAAACTGATCTTTTTATGCTCAGGCACATGTTATTTTATCTAATGTGATTTTCTAGTAAGCATTGTTTTAAATTGATAGAGATATATCATTTTTATTACAGAGGATATATTGATTAATATCTAATTCCATTGGTGGATGTGTGGGTGTATATGCCATCAATCATATTCAAACTAGAAGAAAGTACTGTTCCATTCGTATGCATAGCATACATATTTTTCTCCATTCTTTCCACTTTGGTGTAGTATTGCCTTGAAATAGTGACTTGGTCTGCTGAGTTGTAGATCACAAAATCTACAACTCAGGGAGTACAACTCATCAACAAGAGTCAGGGAGCGCTTGTTCTGTCATTTAACATTCCTCTCCTTGATGCATATGTCAAAGGTTAGCCTTAGTTCAGGAAAATGTAGAAGCTGGGAGTGAAGCAAGTGGAATTTGGAATCGATTTGCGTGTGGAAAAAAAAAAGTCTGTTCCAACTCCAGGGCTGATTCTAAAGATAAAATCCTGAAATGAATTTGCTGAAGCATTTAATTCTACAGTTCTAGCCTTGCCTCAATTTAACTGTTGTTCACCTAGATCAGGAGCGTCAAACTCAGTTTCATTGCGGGCTGCATCAGGGTTGTGTTTGGCCTTGGGGGGCAGGGCTGGAATGGACGTGGCCAGGGTGGGTGTGGCCACCTTGGTGTCACTCGTGTCAGGGGTGCCTGTGGTGGCCCAAGTGCTCTGCCAGCGAAAGCGGGCTCTAAATACAATTGTATTTGACCCCTGCTACCTCAGCATCCCAGAAATCCTTTCAGCAGAAGATATGGAACTCACAGGGCATCCTTGGGAGAAAAGCCATTTATAGGTAGTCCTTGACTTATGACCATAATTGAGCCCAACATTTCTGTTGTTTAGTGAGACATTTGTTAAGTGAGTTTTGCCACATTTTATGACTTTTCTTGACTTTTCTTGTTAAGTGAATTGCTGCAGTTGATAAGTTAGCAACCCAATTGTTAAGTGAATCTGGTTTCCCTATTGACTTTCCTTGGGAGAAGGTCACAAAAGGTGATCCTATGACCTTGGGACACAGCAACGGTCATACATATGAACCCGTTGCCAAGCATCTGAATTTTGATCACAAGGCTGCAAAGGTTGCAACTGTGAAAAACGGACATAAGTCACAGTGTCGTAGTAACTTTGAGCAGTCACTAAATGAACTGTTGCAAGTTGAGGACTACCTGTCTTGGCCGCTGTCTCTCCCGTTCTCCCAGCCAGCCAGGGCAGGAAAGGCCCAACATTGGGCTCACTCTGGAAATAGTACCAGTTCTGGAGCCCGGCCACTTTCCTTCTCGCTAAGCTTTTTGCAGCTCTGTAAGTGAGAAACCTGGAGGGAAGCTTGGTCAGGAGGGGCCTCTTTTCAGAGGCAGCCTGGCCTTGCAAATTTGAGAGTAGGAAGAGGAACGACTGCCCACTTTGCAGGTGCTTCAGAGCACGGTAGGGAAAAGGGGGTGTTACTGTAAATCAGGGGTGTCGAGCTCAAGGCCCAGGCTCTGAATCCGGCCTGTGGAGTGCTTAGATCTGGCCCGTGGGGTCACTCTGGAAACAGTGAAGGACCGGCCCGCGGTGCCTCTGCCAACGACAACAGTGCTCAGGAGGGTTGCCCTTTTCGCTGGTAGAGGGCTGTAGGAGGCCATCACAGCCGAAAATGGAGCCCGGAGGGGGAGGCTCTGTTTTCGCTGGCAGAGTGCCAGCAAAACAAACTACGAGCAAAAGTGGATCCCCAGGCCATTCGACATGAGTGGCATCAAGCTGGCCACGCCTACCATGGCTGCCACCACCCTGGCCCCCCGAGGTCAAACACAACCCTGATGCAGCCCTCAATGAAATCGAGTTTGACACCCGTGTTGTAAATGAAAAGGTGGTCGCAAGAGCAGAAATGGATAGACTTACATTGAAAATTAAACAGAAAAGATACAGAATATTATCATGGAATGGACATGGAATTTGTTTTACCAGTGGTTGGAAAAAATGGGTGGAGATTAAGAATGTAATCTGTATTGTTAAGCAAATTAAATGACAACACAATGTTTGTTAAGCACTAAGAAATGTATTATTAAATATTTAAATTTATAACATATATTTTTAAAAAGGTGGCCTCAAGTAAGGTGTGCACACATCTGCTTAAAGCCAATGTTGTTATAGCTCCCCGTGACCTCTGCCCCCACCCAGGGTCAGTGCCCACAATAGGTGACCCCAGAGGAACTGGGTACAGCATGGACTTTGGAAACCAAGCACCACTATGGCCAGCAGTACTACTGTCCCCACTGGTGTAGTCGGGTTAAATAGTAAAAAAGTAAATTTACATATCTATAATAAAATGTATCTAATCTCTTCTGAGCAGTAATTACCATTTTGATTCACAGTTCTTCATTTATCCTGGATTTTGACTAAACACTATTCACATGTCAGGACAGAAAACTGTTTGCATCCAGGGTTTTGACTCTCAGTTCAGTAAAATGCCCCCCCTTCCAAATGTCAGTGTGACATGATCTACTTCTTGTTAATAAGAAAGGCTGCTAATTTGCAGTTATTTTTCTCTTCATGCTATACTGAATAGACCTGCAGACCCTCATGTGTCCTTTGTCAGCATATAAAGAAAATATGCATCATGAGCTTCCTCTAAATGTTGAAGGTAGTGCATAATTTAGCCTTCCTTGATTGTCTCTTTTCAAAACCTATTAATTTTAATTTGATTTGAAAACTATAAGACCCTTTCTTGATTTTCCATTTATTTGCATTGATCTGTCCAAAGAAGCAGAATAGTAGCTGGCAAAGTATTTCTGGAAATATGTGTTTCAGGCATGTCATTGAGATAAATACCTAACCTGTTTTATGTTTTGTTTTAAATCAGAAGATATTGGCTCTACTCAAATGGATCTTAGCTGGTGTGCATAATAGGATGTGTGCTGGATCTTTTCATGGAGACTAACAGTACTCGTGGAAAAAGATAAACAGCTAATGGCTTCTGAATCGTTGGTCCCAGAGCAAGGAAAGCGTACGGTGACAGGAAGAAGGCATCAGAAGCAGGAAAGGACACCTTTGAATGGTGATGGGGAAGAAGACACATTTGTATTTGAAGCCAATGAAGCTTGGAAGGATTTTCACAGCTCTCTTCTCCATTTCTATGAATCTGGGAAGCTTTGTGACGTGACACTAAAGGTAGTGATTTATATTTTCTATATGATTTTGAATTTTTGTATGGAATTTCCCATGTATTTTGTGAAGTACTAGGAGAAGTATTTGCTTTTCATCACTTGTGTTGCCACTGACTGATTGGGAATGAATTTCAAGCCTTTATATCACTCTTTTTTATTTAAAAGTTGCTAGAAATCTTCTAATAGGACAGTTAGTACTTGTTGGAATCTTGCAGTGGCTCTGTAATGATGGATTTGAACACAAATGAAAAAACCAACAACTTTCTGTCTAATTTAAGAATGTATAACTACCGTGTTTCCCCCAAAATATGACCTGCCCCAAAAGTAGTCCTAGCTTGATTTTTTATGCATGCGCCCAATATAAGCCCTACCCCCCAAAATAAGTCCTAATTAAGACCCTGCCCACTCCACAGGTAAAAATTAAGCTAGAGTTGGGATGGGGAGGTGGAGGTGGAGCTGCCCTACCTTTGGTCTGTTGCAGCCAAGCCTCACACATCCTGACCGCTGCCTTTGCCAGCCTGTTTCCTCTGCAGCCGGCAAGGCTTTCCTGAAGGCCTCTGCAGCCCATAACAGAGCTTCGGGTTGATCCGGAGGCCAGAGGCAACATGCGCAAGTGAGGTGACTGAGTGGATGACATCTCCCCCCAAAATAAGACCTGATGCCTTTTTTGGTGGCAAATAAAAAAATAAAAAAATAAGACCGGGTCTTATTTTTAGGGAAACAGGGTTATTAGAAATTCAGTACCTAGACAAGTTCATTTAGCTGGCATGAAATATACCATTAAATGAACTTGTAGGATAAAAACTTAAGTGTACCGAGATTTTTTGCACAAATAAGGGATTCTTCCATAATCCCCATGTTAAAAGAGTGGGGGGGGGGGGGTTCTTATTTGAAATGAAGAACAGGTGTGGTAACTACGATGGTTTACAATGTGTTGGACAAATAATTATAAACAGTTTATAGCTGAACAAATGTTTTTTTGCACCCAGTAGTTTAGCAAATGGTTAAGCAGAAAAGTCATTAACATAAAAGATGTACTGCTTCATGCGTATAATTTATCATACAGCTTTTAAAAATTATAGAGGCATCAAGTAGATACAGTGATAGTTTTGTCTCAGCTATCTGTAAATGAAAAGGGCAGCTGATTCAGAAACAGAACAAATCTGCTGATCATTAATTGTAAAATACAACAGTGGCCCCCAACCTTTTGGGCACCAGGGACCGTTTCCAAGAAGAGAGGTTTTTCCGTGGACCAGAGTGGGCATGGTTTCAAATGCTACCTGCATCCCACAGATAGGGCTTTGCATGGTCCAGTTTCTGGCATGCCGCGGACTGGTCCAGGGGTTGGGGACCCTTAAAATAGAAAGTAATACTTCAATCATGCTCAGGTAAGAAGAAAAAAAGGGAAAACTGGAAAAACGTATACCAGTGAGATAAGTAACACTTTCTAACGGTAGAAGCAAAATGAAAATATTTGCAAGAACTTTACTGACATATTAATGAAACATACCGTATTATCATACATTCTATTTTATTTGTGGATCTTGTGGGTTTCTTTAAATAATGAGCCAAAGTATTTTAACTAAATAATGGAGGGCACCTGAATTCCAACTCCAATACTTATTTTGTCACCTTGGTTTGTTTTTGTAAATTCACTTTTGAAATTTGAGTTTGATCAGCTATCCTGGTATTACTAGAACGTTCTGGGCTTGAGAACATATTTTCAACCTAGGATCAGTTCTTGTGGGGTCAGAACAATATCAGTAGAATGTATGTTTTAAAACACTCCTCAGTGTTCAAGACACTGAATAAATTTATTTAGCTGCAGTTGTCCCCATTTTGCTTTACGCTAAAGTGAGCTACTGTTAACATTCTAATATGTTTTACTTCCAGGTGGGCTCAAAGTTGATTACCTGTCATAAGCTTGTCCTGGCTTGTGCTATACCTTACTTCAGAGCCATGTTTCTTTCGGAAATGGCAGAAGCTAAACAATCCTTGATTGAAATCAAAGATTTTGACGGTGATGCCATTGAAGACTTGGTCAAGTTTGTGTATTCCTCCCAGCTAGTGCTGACAGTTGACAATGTCCAGCCTCTCTTATATGCTGCCTGCATTCTCCAAGTGGAGATAGTGGCCAAAGCTTGCTGTGAGTACATGAAGCGGCATTTTCACCCTTCAAATTGCCTGGCAGTGAGGGTCTTTGCAGAGAGTCACAACCGTATTGACTTGATGGACATGGCTGACCACTATGCCTGTGAACACTTTGTTGAAGTGGTGGAATGTGAAGACTTTGTGAGTGTATCACCTCAGCACCTTCATAAACTCTTGTCTTCAAATGACCTGAGCATTGAGAATGAAAAGCAAGTTTATTGTGCTGCTATTAAATGGCTTTTGGCCAATCCCCAGCACCATGCTTTATGGTTAGATGAAATAGTTGCTCAGGTAAGAACCACATGAGAGTAGGATAAAAGTCCTATTAATACCTATATTGTTTTTCTCATTTTTTTTTCATTGATGATGGTACTTGAAAGCAGCCGTATTTTTCCTTATGCAGCTTTGGTGATATATGTATAAACTGTGCACAATTGGTTCTCTAACTTCAGCCAAAAAGATAGATACCCTTTGCTTTTACAGTAGATTACGGTAGATTATGTCCATTTAGAATTCTTTATTGGCCAATGTGGTTCGACACACAATGAATTTGTCTTCAGTGTATAAGCTCTCAGTGTACATAAAAAATACATTCATCAAGAATCATAAGATACAGTACTTGGTGAAGATTGTAGGACACTAAATAAGCAATCATACTAGCAGACTGAATAATATAAATAATAAAGGTACAAGGTTATAGTCATAAGTAGGAGGAGATAAGTAATAGGAAGAATAATAGACTTGGAGACAGTATGCAAATAGATTCCATTGACCTAGCCTACTCCTTCATATGTCCCAGTGTTCTCCCATCCAGGTACACATTAGGTTAGCCTAGGTCTCCAGGTTGAAAATTAGCAGCCAGAAGATTGTCACTGTTGTTACAGCTTTTGTTCAATATTGACAGTCCTGCACTATATAATTATGTAAATAACAACTTGCAGCATAGAGGTAGGATGACCAAAGAATGCTTAATAGGGGCATTGGAATTACATTTATTGTCATTTGTCCTCAAGGATATTCCTTCTCCATATAGTGCTATTAAGGTAAGACAATTTCTGTAGTTCATCTTGAAGAAATGACAGTAGCTGGTAGGGTCATTAATGGACCTGATCTTTGCTGCATGATGATTAAAATGCTTTATATTTGCAGATTTTTGGCTATTTAGCTCAAAAGATATTCAGTTCTTTCAGGACTTCTTCAATAAGTAAGCCATTAGGAAAGGGGTTTGGGTAGCATCTGTAGTTGTTCAAAGTGCTTCCTTCCAGTCTGAACTTGCATTGCAGTGTTGTCCAAATGAAATGCGCATATTGTACCCTTGCACTGGCTAAATAAAATTAAGACTAGGTTAACCAACCAGGCTTGTTGATAAATAAAAAGGTTATTCTTGAAATTCATTGCTGATACCATGCCAGTTATCTGGTCAGAGTAGGCAAAATTCCCATATCCTTAGATAATGTAGTAAGAATGAAATTGCGCTAGCCTGGCATTCTCTCATTGATCAAAGTGAAATGGAAAGATGTTCATTTCGATCTTGATACTGTTCAATTCATCATTTATGTTTGTTCCCCTAGGTACGCCTCCCTCTGTTACCTGTTTGTTTCCTGATGGGAGTTGTGGCAAAAGAACAAATAGTCAAGCAGAACTTAAAATGCCGAGATTTGTTAGATGAAGCAAGAAACTACCACCTTCATTTAAGCAGTCATACGGTACCCGATTTTGAATATTCTGTTCGGACAACGCCAAGGAAACACACAGCAGGTATCTTTATTTTTTTCCTGATACACCGATGGTATAGATTTGAAAATTTCTTGTTCTGTGAAATCCTGTTAATGAGTTCAATGAGTGCTTTATTTGAAAGCCGCTGAATTTTATTAATTAATTTAAATGTTATCAAAGAAGCTACTCTCCATTTGTTTTTTCCTGTTAGGTGTCCTTTTCTGTGTTGGAGGGCGTGGGGGATCAGGTGAACCGTTTCGCAGTATTGAATGCTACTCGATAAATAAAAATAGCTGGTTTTTTGGTCCTGAAATGAACAGTAGAAGGAGGCATGTAGGAGTCATCTCTCTGGGAGGTTCGTAAGAAGAAAATTCTATTTTCAAAGAATGATGTATTCTATTGTAGCTCATGATTCAACCGTTCCCTCTACCCTATAATCACTGTATTTTCCGAGGAGGAAGAAAACTCTGAATTTAAGATGATTACCACAAAAGCAAAGCAGAAAAAGGGTAGTTAAGGGGAAAAAATAGGACTAATATCCTGTATAATATACAACTTCCCACTTTTTCAACCTAGGAAATCCCCTGTAATAAATTGCTTATGAGACACGTACATTGGTTTGTGCATCAGTCATATCTATATATGCTTGCCATAAACCACATTCCAAAAATGGCACCATAGCAAAAATGAATTACTAATATCTATAACTTATAATTCTCCATTTATAAAATTTACCCCATCTGTATATACCAAGCTCTTTCTGTCAAACAAATTTGTATTGTTTGTGTTTTTCATGTACATATGCATGCAGCAGTGCTTAAAAGTTTGTGAATGCTTTTGACTTTTTAATATTTCTGCATAAATAATACAGAATATATAAATTGCACCTAAAATGTGATCTGTTCTCCACACAAATCCTAAAACTAGCTAAAAAGAACCAGACAAAGGAAATAAGTCAACACTTGCTCAATTTATTATTCATTTATAATAATTTAGAATATTTTGCAGCAATTTCACCTGGATCAAGTATGGATTTTGCTAAAACTAGCCTTGTATTTTTATAGGTTCCCCTTGACAGAGCCTCTGGTTTTCTTTCAGATTTCCCTTCCTTGTGTTTGGGATATCTCTTTTCCTATCCCTAAATATCTGCTTGCCAGCAATGGACTAGTAAATAAAATTTTGCTTAATAATGCTTTTTCATTAGAAGAAATACTCGAGAACTCACAAACATGGTGGAGATTGTTAAGAGGACTCTGTAGCAACATACTACTGGAAAATAAGAAATACAAAATGCCAGAATTAAAAAAATTATTATGTCAAATGTCCTAATAATGACCTAAATAAATGACCTAAATAAAGAAGTCTTCATACATGGAGAAAAGATCAGAAAAGTCAAATTAATTTGAAATGATGGAAAATATTTGTAGCTCAGGTGGTGGACATTGGCGGTGGTATTCTCCAAAGTTTCTGTTTGACATTAGTCCAACTAATCTTCTGGATAAGAGCGATGTGATCTTCTTCCAGCCAATCCATTGTCAAATGCTAAATTGGATGGATATTTGCTCCAAGAATTGTAATGATAACCTATAGATTAAATGCTTGAATAGAAAAGCATGTGCTAATATTTACATTTGTTAACTATTTAATTCAGCAAATCATGCAAGAAGAAAAAGTTCCTTCTGGGCGAAAAAAGGAACATTTCAGTTAATTTGGCAAAACATTTGTTAACTATAACTGGCTATGTCTAGGCAGATTGTAATAGCGATAAACAGCAATAAAAATAAGATGATGGGCTACTGTCATGTTTCTTCTTAAGACATAAATTGTCTGACTATTTCAGGTAAAGTTTATGCTGTGGGTGGGCACGATGGAAATGAACATCTAGGCAGCATGGAAGTGTTTGATACTCTCACAAATAAATGGATGATGAAAGCATCAATGAATACCAAAAGGTAGGTACATTTGGAGGTGGGCCTTCCTTAGGCAGAAATGGGCGGATTCATGTGAGACATTGTCACATAATCTTCATGGACCAAGTAAGGAAACACACTAAGTATCTTCATACTCATCATTTTTTACTTCATTTATTAATCTCACCCATCCAACCAAAAGAAATTCTGGGCAGCTAACTGCAAGTAGATAAAACAACAAATCTAAACACAGCGAATATAAAGCTACACAATACCATCATCCAAAATAAATTTGCAATATGGGGAAAGAATGATGGAAATTTGAAACATAAATGAGGCTTTTTTGATTAAAAGGAGAAAAATCAGAAAAAGTGCAAAGCAATCGTATAATTGTCTTAGATCTGTCATTTGTAGCTAAAATTGGTTAGGAATATATTTCAGTCAATATATGTTTTTTTAAAAAATCTAGCTTCTCAAAATTGGCAGTTGATTGTGATAAAGGAAATTAGGCAGAAGGGACATTGTAATAAATAAAATTTGGGTTTTATGACGTTACATGTTGACTTTTGTTACCCAAGTGAATTAAAGATAAAACTAGATATACCTTAGAAGAAACAGGGTGGCTCCAGTGGTTGGAACTGGGCAGGAGGTTAGCACTCAAGACCCAAGAGCTCTTGTCCTTCACTCCAGCTCCTGCTGGGGGCATGAAAGGAGCCCCCAACTGGGCGTCCCCAGGGCAATGGTGATACCACTGGCCAATCCTTTCAGCCCGGAAGTGTCTCAGTATTTCTGATGAGAGTGTAAAAATACACCTAATGAGTAAATTTGCTGCTTTATTTTTAATTATCATTGGATAAGTGAGAGTCTGCTTTTTGCTAGGAGAGGAATTGCTCTCGCCTCTCTTGGAGGCCCAATTTATGCCATCGGAGGCTTAGATGATAACACTTGCTTCAGTGAGGTGGAAAGATATGACATGGAATCGGACCAGTGGAACGGAGTTGCGTCTATGAATACCCCTCGCGGAGGAGTTGGTTCTGTAGCTCTTCTGGTGAGTCTCTTGAGCAGCCTTGAAATGGACAGCAAACATTGCCTGCCAGAGCAGAAATAGTAAAATAATATGGAGTCCTTCAACTATAACTGTATTCAATTCAGGGGCTACTTTCTGATAGTAAATAAGACATGGAATGGAATAGGTGAGGAAAATACAGCAACATAGTAGTATAAACACCTGAGACAGTTCAATATTTTTCAAAATTTAGCACTAGGGTTCAGTTTATCTAGTTGGATTACAATTGGTATTGTTTCATTATTTTTACAGTTCAATGTGAGATAGTTAAACTTAGCCTGGCAAAGGTAAATTAATACGTGTGATGTAAGATAAAGTATGTGTTTATGTATATAAGAATTTATAGAAACTTATTTTTCTCATTTCAGAATAATGTATATGCCGTTGGTGGAAATGATGGTGTGGCTTCTCTATCTAGTGTGGAGAAATATGATCCTTATCTTGATAAATGGATAGAAGTGAAAGAAATGGGTCAGCGGAGAGCTGGCAATGGGGTTAGTGAACTTCATGGCTGTTTATATGTGGTAGGTGAGTAATGTTCAGCCCCTTCTCACTTTTGACCTCCTTATATTCTCATAGTTTTGCTTGAACTTCAATAACAGAAGCAGATTATGGTGAAGAGAAGACACCAGGTGTGGGGGCTGGACATGGCATGTTGAGTTACTCTGAGGACTTAGTTTGGCCAGCTAGGCTACAAGAGTCTCTTTGGTTTTCAAACAGAATCCCTGAATGCTCGAGGGAATGAGGAGAAGAATCTTCAGCAGATTAGTTCACTTTTGGAGGGTTAGTTTTTGCTAGTCAGCAAGTTACTTGCTAGTCAGTTCCCCATCTCTCTGCTTACATGGGTTTCTACCACATGCATGGAACATTATTATACCTGGTAATATAAATTGTAAATGGTAGGGTAAAGTAATAGCTTTTCTTGGGGTGGAAATAGTTGTGATGGGCAGTCCATCTTTTACAATAAACCTATCAATGCTTGTGTGAAGAATTCTCTTAACAGATCTGTTGCATTTGGGTGCTGTTTGAATAACAGAATATATGGTATGCTTCCTCTATTGTTGAGCTATAAAACCATTAACTACAACATACATACATACATACATATGTGCTTTTCTATATGTTCTTGTGCAGGTGGTTTTGACGACAATTCTCCACTTAGCTCGGTTGAGAGATTTGACCCTCGTGCTAATAAGTGGGAATATGTAGCAGAACTAACAACTCCTAGGGGTGGAGTTGGCATAGCAACATTAATGGGGAAAATTTTTGCCGTTGGAGGACATAATGGGAACACTTACCTGAACACAGTGGAAACCTTTGATCCAGTAGCAAACAGGTAATTTGAAGCCCTTTTTCTATTCAAAGCATTTGAAAGCCACGCTTCACAATGTGGAAGAGCACATGCAAAGCTCTATACTGCAAATAATGCAGCTACTTTAACAATTTGTAAGGAAGGTCCTCAGTACTCTTTACATTCTGTAAGGTATCACTGGGTGATTTTTCACAACTCTTGGTTTGTTCATTTCTTAATTGTCTGATTAAAAGTAGGAAGAATTTTGATAACAGTCAGTTTTAATATACAATTTTCATGTTTTTTACATTACTCAGCAAGCAGGTTTTTTATTTGTTACAAATCTCTAAATTTTGTGCCTTGAATCAATCTTGAGAAGATCAAGTGTTCCTGTGTATGGAGTAACTTGAGGTATTGATTTTTAAGCAACCACTTGCTCTAGTAGAGAGGCAACATTAAGGTGTGAATTGGCATTATGCCTTACTTTTCTTCAGGATTAAGTTTGTAGCTTAAAAGCTGCATATTTAATTTTGTTTTCAAGAGTTTATATATTATTAGGGGAGAATGTGTACAAAGGTGCTAATTTCTTCTTTGTTTTCAGTGGCTGATTTTTTAAAACAAATTGGTTCATCCATTGTGTCATGTCATCATGTGATTTTTGGTTCTCATTTTGGCTTAGTTTGCTATGTTAATTCAGCCATTGTTATTCAAACCATACTTTATGAGTGTGGTATAAATCCCATCCAGTGATTGAAGTCATATCTTGTCATGAATTATAATTTATTTAATTGTAGTTTGTTGGGTGCATCTCTGCTATACAACAAGCTCAGTCATAATTTATGAACCACGGTTTCACAACAATTCACATTTTGCTGAAATGGCTTAGCATTGGTGTGATTTCCAATCTCTGTCTAAAATGATCTTTACTATTCTAACTTCAGAAAATTTTTCTTCGTGTGTTTAATTTCAACTTAAGTATTTAAATAGACCCCCAAAATAAAAGTATTTTTAAATTGAATTGGTACATGAGATTGAGGTGTATTTAGCCTGCAAACTAACTTTTCTCACATTAAGATTAGGAAAAGGCAAAGCAACTTGACTTGCATTTCTTTTTCTTTTCTTTTAGGTGGGAGCTTGTGGGCTCCGTGTCTCACTGCAGAGCTGGGGCAGGAGTTGCTGTGTGCGCTTGCCTAAGCAGTCAAATTCGTGATATGGGTCAAGGTTCTAGCAACGTGGTGGACTGCATGTGAATTTAGGTTGAAGCCTGCAAAGGTTGTGAAATGCTTTAAGCCTCCTTTACTATTGTACAAAGACTTCTGAATGTTTGAAGCAATATATGTAAATATACTAGGATAGTTTTTGTATGACAATCTGAGTGCTGTGGAAGTTTTAAAGTATTTACTTACAATAAAAACTTGAAAAAAATTAAAGAAGGATTCAACAAAAATAGAAGATGTATTCATTCAATGGAGGCTTAAAATGTGTCGCTTGATTTTCATAGATAATTTGATGAGTGATTTCATTTCAGTCATTAGCTTACAAAGTATTCCAGAATGGAATGAGTATCTGTGAATCTTATTTTGTAGTTTTCTCAAATACACCTTCTGAAATGCTTATACATTAGAAGAATTCACTAAGATCCCACAAATACCTCTATAAAGTATACATCTACTACTATTGTACTATACAAGACTTTTTTGGGAAAAACAATGTCTTCAGTGAAAGAGTCAATGGACAAAAGTGCCAATGGCTATCTGGGTTTTTAGAAATTGATCAGGTATATGGTTGCCTATTAAAAGCAGTGCCACAACCTTCCCATTTCAAGAGAAACAAGAACGAGGGACTGTCACATTATAAAAGGGAAAAATACTCTAAGGATGAAATCAGAACATTTCTTACTCATGCAATGTCACTATCTCAACTCGGGTTATTTTTTATCACATTTGCTCAATTAACTTCCACGTATCCCACTTGCAAGTTGCCCTTAGTTTACTACAGTGTTGGCTTTCTACACTTTGAATCCATTGTTGACTCAACCTTGGGCAACAGAGAGTTATTTTTGGTGGGTTTGTGTGTTTCTAATCTTGTAAGCTACCCAGAATGTGACTCTGAATATAATACATATGAATAAAAGTTGGGAAAAATAGATAAAGAAAAATTGAAGAATGAAAGAACTGTGGCGAGAAACATGAGTGAGGTAGAAAAAATACCAGTAGACAATTCCATACAACAGAATCTATGGGAAGTGAACTTTGTGAACATGAAACTGAAATTGCTTGGAGCAGAGTGCCATAGCTGATGGGAAGTATGAAAATAGATACTTGGAGGTGAAATTAATTCTGGATAAGTTAAAACTATTAGTGGACCTCAAATGTGCCACTAATTTCAATTTTTGTCTAAGTAGGTATGAAACTGTTTAACATAGTGCAATTTCTCCTTATTGCATTGGTCCTTTTGAACTAATTGTATTTTTCAATTGTGGTACCGGCAGTGAGATTGGATCTCACCCACACTGCTTCAGTCACATTTCAGCTGCTCTATTAGAAGTTCCTCGTTTGCATTATACATGCAAACTCATTTTAATTCCCCACTTGCTGAGAATAGCTTCTAAAAAAATAGCTTCTAAAAAACAAAGGAAGGCCGTGAAAAGCCAGCAACCTGACTTAGCGGTTTAAGATGCCCCATTGGACCAAACCAGACGTTTCTATTTATTTACAGGACATCCCTATAAATGTGCACAGAAGTCGGGCCCCTTTTGTTGAAAAAAAATATAATTTGCTAGATTTGATGTGGCGTTTGTGTTCAATTTAATATTGGTAGTGAAATCTAAAATCTAATCTTGTGGCATAGAGGTGTATGGATAACAACAGCGATTATTCTCGCTGAAGATGGTATGGAGTTGACGCTGTATTTCAGCACATCTGCATGGTATCAGTTTGGGGGAAGATTACATGGACTAATGATTAATCTTGATTACTGTATCTTTTTATACTGGATCCAAAATTTCCAGTTTGAGAAAAGGATCAGTATGTTTAGCTGCAACAGGAAGATAAAAGCATTTTCTGTGAATTCCTATGGAGATTCTCAGTCATCCAGGTCATGGATGCCCCAAAGGTGCTTTTTCAAAAGGTGACTGTCTCCTCCAAGAAGCTTCTTTAGTTCATAAATTTGCTTTTAAGAACAAAACTGAAGACATTTCACTTCTCATCCATTCTTGTAATCAAGAATGTTGTGCCTTAAATCTATTGCTATGGAATCAGTTGTGTTTTTGTATTATTAAAATTATGTTATCATTTGAGAACAAATGGAGATTTTGATATGGTGCAGATTTTTCTTCTATTTCATAATTTGTATACCTAAATCCATTTCCATCCAAAAATATCCTATTCTGTCAATATAATGCTATATTGATCCAATTTGGATTTTGAGATCATAGGAAATACCTGTTAATGGTTAATGATCACAGCAACAGACACAAAATATGCTGCTTCATTTAATATTTATTTATTTCCCCACAGAATTTAAACAAATCAATCTGGAAATACCACCAATATACAGGGCAGAAAATATTTACAAGATGGAGACACAAATCCCATAATTTAAATGTACAGATTTTTTCCCCACTCTGTTCCCATGGTTTCTTTATTTAAAAAAGGATAGTTAAGAAGAGAAATTGCCCTTTAAAAATAAAATTGTCATCAACCTAATAATGTTCAGTCGACATCTCCAGTGTCAATGGAACTTGCAAATTATTAAATTATGGTTATCTTAGATATATAGGACATTGTCAATTTTAAATACATTAATTATAATTCTAAATAAATATCTGGGAGGAGAACTGCTTTGAGTGTGCAGCTTCACAGACCTGTGTTTAAAAATGGAAAAAACATCATTTCTTGCTCCTTGGATGGAGAATTGAAAAGCTTGACTCTGGATGAAATTCATGAAACGTGCATGTAGAACTGGGAATCAGAGCTTAGAATAGGGATGAAACGGAGTCATTCATTAAATTGGTCTTTTTAAGAGGGAAAAAAATTAAAACCATATATCTGATCCCCGCGAATGGACTCTTTCTCTGCAATTCTGTGTAAAATTAAAACAAACAAGGGGGAGGGGAAAAAAATTATCACAGAACACAAAAGCTTTTCAAATTGGAGAATTGCTTCTCTGGAAAACTGAGAAGCTTCCCGTCCCCTTTGGTTCTGGGAAGAGGTTTTTATACAGCCTTTCCTGAACCAAACCAAACTTTTATTTTTTATTAATGAAATGAAACCTCTATTGCTTCCCCCCCCGCCCCCGCTACCATTTTATGAACAGTCATATAAAACCAGTCGCACAAAATGCACTGCAGCCTTTTTTGTTTGTTTGTTTCCATGAGGAAGGGAAGAGGGAGAGAGAGCGGGGGAGGGGAGAGATTAAGTCAACTGAACCTCTGGGAGATTCTGGGATTTGAACGTACTTTTGGACTAAAGTGCTCAAGGAAGTGGGCTAAAGAGGGGCCCCTTAACAACTGAGGATTCTTTATACTGGAATATAGATCCTAACGCAAAAGCAGCAGCAAAGGATCCAAGCTGGTTCAGGAGTTAATTCGGAAGAGGGGAGGGAGAGGGAGAGAGAGAGAGAGAGAGAGAGAGAGAGGGAGGAGGGAAATCTTGACTGATGGGGAAAGGATGGTATGTGGTTTGCAGTAGGGAGTCAAAACACACAGAGTGCTCCTCACGTTTCTCATCCATGCTCAGAGTTTTCGTATCCATTTCGTGTGATAAAGACAAGCAGGTACAAGCAGCCCCCTCTCCCATACTCTGGACCAAATCCTTCTCTGGGGAAGAGCAATTACCAACCTAGTTGCATTGAAAACCTCATCTTTTGATGCCCATTCCTGAGATATCACTGCAGCAATGTTGTGAGTTACAAGTATTTCTGATGGGGGAACTTGTTACGTCCCCGTATAACAGAGTGTAGCGCTCACGGAGACTGAAACGTTTTACTGGGAGGTGCCCCAGAGCCCTCCACAATCTGACCCCCATTTCAAAATTCTTAAGCAAAATGTCAGAAATCTCAGGCAACATCTGACAGGAGGTCTTAGCAGACCAGGAATAGGGGTATTAGATCCTAAGACAGAGGTCTCCAAATGTGGCAACTTTAAGACTTGTGGGCTTCAACTCCCAGAAGTCCACAAGTCCTTAAGTTGCCAAGTTTGGGGACCCCTGCCCTAAGAGGTTGCTGGTCTCTGCAGGATAGGAATGAAACGAAGCATTGAAAAAGTGCCTGGATGTGCAGCTTCTGCTCTCTGCCCAACAGCAGTTAGGATTTTGCCCTTCCCCATCGTTTCTTCAATTGCAATTTGAAATGCAGGCAATGCAAGATTCCCATCACCCATCCATTCCAACGTCTGTTGTCGTCGTGCTTGCATGTCTCCGGCATCAATTCGGAAGGGTTGCAAGATCTCCACCTCATCATCTTCAAGATTAAGTAACTTGGATTTAAACAGTTTGGAAGGGGGGTGGGTGGGAAATGTTTCTCTAAGTTAGAAGTACGCTATTTCTGGAAAATTTTATGTTCCCTTGTTTTTTTGTTTCTCCTGTGGGGATGGCATTATCCCCAAATCAAATCTGCCCTGAAAGAATCAGTAAGATTCTCTACAACGAGTCTATCTTCAAAAGGTGGAATCATGAGGTTTATTAATTACTAGGATTGGTAAAGAATGAGAATCTATAGTAAAAATGAGAATGCTGTACATCAACTCCACAAAAATAATTGTCTACCTTTACAGCGAACGTACATATTCGATTTCAACTTGTTGACTCTGAGAATCAGCCCAAAAGAAAAACTTATCATTGCACTTAAGAATAATTTATCTGGAAGATATTCATTCCCCAAGTGGCTTGCTTAAGTCAAGTGATAACAGATGCAAAGGGGAGAATTAAAAGCATGGCTGAAAGGAGGGTGGTAAACATATATGTTTTAGATTAAACAGAAGGCGGTTTCTTATGCTTGACGGGTTATAGGAAACAAATATATAGCATGCTCATTAATGAGGATTTTTATAAATTAATAAAAAGAAGCAGAGAGAGAGATGTTTGTGGAAGAATCTAGGGTTTTCCAAGTAGACTGAGCAAAGAATCTTACAACAGAGGAAACAGAATCCTCTCAAATGAAAAGGATCATAAGAAAATGAGTCAGGCAGTGTCCTGGCCAGCATGAATGAAAAATTGTGCATCTCTGAACCTAACATGTTAGGGAAGGTGATCTGAAATGGCACACTTCTAAGTTCCTCCCCCCCCCCCAGCCCCCCAAAGATATTTAAATATCTCCCAACAAATTGAATATAAGCAGAAGAGGCCTCTTCAAATGCCACTCCTTTTATTTGGTGCTAGGGGATTCTGTCCCTTCTTAGCCTCGTACCCTCTGGGTGGAGTTACTAAGAT